CTGACTTTGCCGGTTTCCCAGGCTGTGATCCTACTACTGGTCACGTGTTAATTGACACTGCAGCTAGTGGCTTTATCTCCTAAGGGGATGCTTAGGCAGCCTCAATAATATCACCTACAAATATACCAAGCACCCCTTCTTGCATGGACCTGGCGAGGGTGTTCTACAGTTCAGCTTCTGCCTCCCCAGGCTCCAGGTGCATTTTAGGAGTTGGCATGATCCTTGGCTGCTTGACAGAGGACAGAACTTCAGAAACTCAACTACCACTCATTTATTAGTGGAACATCCCAGAACAATTTGCAGCCAAGCAGCTTCCAGTTTTCTCCCAATTGCTCCATGAAAACATTTTCTCATTTCCTTTACTTGTGTTTTATTTTCTCAGGTTTGTGTACAGAGTACCTGAATTCTCCAGCGAGGCTTTGAATTCTCACTGGATGGGCATGACCCCCTTCCTGTGTGCCTCTGTGGATCAACTGGCGCCCTGGTGTGGATGTAACCATGCCATGCCATTCCTTCTTTTCCCATTTGCTTCAATGTTTGTTATTTTAAAATACTGATCCCAGGACAGATATGTTCAGAATTAGCTTAACTCACCGCACGTGACTTGAATGATTGTTTATCAGATACAATCATTTAAAGCACGTCAGCTGTTCATTATCTCTACTTGTTAGGGAAATGCAAATAAAAGCAACAAGATATAACTTCATACTTATGAAATAGCTGTCGTCCAAAGACAAGAAGCAAGTGTTGTCGAGAGTGTGAAGAGAGAGAAGGGAGCCCTTACACACCTTTGGTGGGAATGTAAATTGGTGCAGTCATTATGAAAAACAGTAAGGACATTCCTCAAAGAATTAAGAATAAATACCATATGGCTCAGCTATTCCACTGTTGAGTATATATCTGGAGTCAGGAGGGCTCTCACCATGTTACTCTCATCTCAACACTCTCCCAGGCATAAGGCTAAAGTCCAATCTCTCCACAGCCCGACCTCCTGCTGCTCCCTGAGAGAACCCTTTCTCTCCTCTCCCTGAAACACCCCCTTCTAGTCCCACCTCTGAGCCACATCTTTGCAGGAGCCAGTGCCTGACTCTCCTCTCCCACAGCACTGCTGCCCTCCTCCTCCCAACTGGGTCATGTTACTTAGTCTTTAAAATGCTCTTGCACTTGACCCACTTCAACATGTGCCCATCTTGCCATTGCACAGAGCTCCCTCTTTCTCAGCTCCTCAGGAACCCTGCTCCCCACCTCCACTCCCCACACCCAGAGCTGGACCTTGTTGGACCTTTGACATGTCTGATGTTAACATTCAACCCTGGGGTGATGGATCTTATCTCCTTAACCAGGCTGGAAGCTCTTTTGGAGAAAGGGCCTGGATGGATAGTGCTACACATATGTCACAGCCTCCAATAAATATTTCAGGAATGAATAACTATTGCAGTGTCTGCTTTTGGCTCCCTAACTCTGCAGAGAGTGGGAGGGAGCTGGTGACAGGAGCACGTGGCCTGTCATCAGAAGGAAACCATTCCTGCCAAGTTACATGGACATGTTTCTGTGAGAAATGGCCTTTGTGACATATGTACATATAACACCCACAATAAAGGTGAGGGTGATTGGCATGGAGACAAAAACTATTTTTACCCTAGGGTTAAAACACAAAAATGAGAAAATTTCAATGCAGTCAAATTTTTTCAATTGCCTGTGAAAAGGAAAATAGTGCTTTCTGGAAAGGGATCTTATTACCCAAAATAAGTCACAGAGAGAATGTGGTAGCAACCTGACATTTGGGGGACCTCTGTGCACAAGAGGGGAAATGTGCCCTGTGGCATGGCCCCTGGGCCTCTGCAGGCATTTTCCCAGCCCAGTCCCTGCACCAGTAAGGGCCTTTCTGTAGCATCCATGCTGACTGATTGCTGAGCGTGTTCCTTTCTGTGGGATGTTCATGCATCAGTCTTGGGGTTTCTTATTAATGAAGAAACAAGGAAGCAATGAAGTGTGCTGGGCTGAGGTTTTGTTTGTTGTTTCATTCTTGTTTCCCGCGGTCAGTCACTGCCTGGCACACCGGGCGGGTACAGGTGTGGGGATGGCCACATGTGGGAGAGGAATTCAGGAGAGGAGGGGAGTGGGAGCAGCCACACTGGCTCATCCAGACTTGTGGCAGGAAGTGAGCCTTCCTCTTCCAGCATCACCTGGCTTCTCTTCCCTGTTCTTGAATCCTCACATTCACACTCACCAGCCAGCTGGCAGACACCCCTTCACTGGGAGGGAGTCTTTAGAATGACTGACAAACACAACCCCTAAATCAGAGCTCCTTCAATCTCTCTCCCAACCCTCATGGAGGATGCGAAGGGATAGAAAAATCCCAAAAAACCTGTTCTAAGTAATAAAAATCATACCCTCTTCCCCATCTTTCCTTTAACTCTTTCAAGCTCTTTGTCTGTGCCATTTAGACTTAGATTCCATCCTGTCTCTGCTCATTGTCTGTCAGGTATTCATTAATGTAGCCTCTGCAACTAAGTGTGATTTCCTTGTGGGCCAAGAATGACACATTTTAGTACCATTTCTCCAAGTACCTGATCTGTGTAGTCCAAATCAAATACACTAAGTGTATTAAATGATTAAAATGAGCAAGGAATGTTATGTATCATGACCACTGTCCCAAGTATGTACCGTTTATCAATCAGAACTGTCCTGGAAGAGACTCCAGGCATGGATGGGCTTCTTCTGAAAGGTAGGAAAACCCAGCCGCAAGCTAAGCAGGTGTTCCAGGATGTACCCTGGCCTGTGGTCAGCCCAGAAGGTCACAGAATTATCTGGTGGTCAAGGTCAGTTGCCCACATCAGCCCTGGTACCAAAGAGTTGTGGCTATGCTTCTCAGGGGAAATCCAGTCCCTAGAACTGCTTGGTGAGGACTGGTGCTATTCGGGTCACAGCCAACTGATGACCAGGGCTCTTATAATTGCAAGGTACCCTCAACAACAGCATTGAGAAACTCTGAAGAAAATAATAGTTTATAATTGACAAGCCCTGGAATTACCCAGCATACCTGAGGACAGCAAGCTCTCAGGCTTGGTGTCCTACTTTTATTGGGATCTGGGGGATTCCAGGGCTCACTCTTTAATGGTGAATATCAGTGGGAACCTAAAGTATGGGAAGCTGAAAATCAGTGGTACTTATGGTCATTTATGGAGATTCAACTGAGATCTCTAAAAAAAAAAAAAAAGGAGTCTCAATGGGAGGCAAGGACCTGGCACACACTAATGGTACAACTAATGAGCATGTTGAAATGCCCTCTCTGAGCAGATGCCCTCTTGGGAATGGAGGCCCCTGCCATCAAAGCTTGCCTGGCATTCGCATTACAGAGAAAACCCAACTGTCTGGCTGACCAGACAGTACAACCCACGGCACAGATACCTACAAGACTTTCTCCCCAAGGATGATGGGATATCTGTGTCATGCCAGCCAGTGGATGCTGAACAGGTCAGGTGCAGCATAGGAAGAACTCTGGAGTTAGGCTGACACTGTTCTGTCTGGTAGAGGCCACACGCCAAATGCCTGATGGCATCAGAGACTCCCACTTGGGCCACAGCAGCCATGGCAGAGACTGGCACATGGCAGAAGCCAGGAACTCCCAGGACAGAGAAGTGCTGTAGAACTTGACGATGGAAAATCTTTCTCCCATTTGGTAGCAACGGACCCTTTTCCAAACCTGACACCAGCAAGGACCAATAGCACTCTTCTCCGAGGGGAGCCGTTACAATAGGAACACCTGACCCTCTCTGCCTTCACCCTCCACCAGCCCCTTGCTCCTTCCCTCCCACTCCGGTCCATCCATCAGGTCCTGTGGATCTGACTTTGCTCTTAAAGATTGAAACAGATGAGTTTAGGGGCATCTCTTGAGGCATCCTGCTTCTCTGCTCTGTATCTGTCCACAAAGAGAGAAGGAGCCAGACCAGGTGAAGGTGTGCAGCAGCCCCTGTGCCTGCAAACCCTTCTCTGGGGGTCTAGCAAACAGTGGGGCTGGTATATTCAGGCAAAGTTTGTATCTTCTTCCCCATCTTCAAATCTTTCCCTTGTAGAGCAATGCTCAGGGAGAAGGACACAGAGACCCCTTGGAAGGATACTCAGAGACCTTCTTGGAAATGCACCAGGGCCAGAGCTGCCCCCTCCACTTCTAGAGGTCCTGTGATGAGTACTAGTAAACCAGATGGCGTCTTCCTGTCTTGTGAGGTTTAGTTTAGTTAGGAGCAATTCACTGGTGTTGCCCTTGCTCTACAAAGGGTCGGTGCCTTGGACTTCAATTATGCTCTTTCAAAAAGTAAAGCCACCAGGAGGGGCTGCGAGAGAGGGCACCAAGGCCAGCATTCTTGGGAGAAGGGACTCTCCAGGACGACCAGGGATGGAGTGGGGAATTTTTGGGCTCAGTCCGCAGCTTCCACGCAGCCTCTTCCTAGCCGACTCTGACCTCACAGCCCCCTGGGTGTGCGCTGTCTACCCTCCCGCCTCCCCTGTCCATCTCCCTCCCAGGAATCATTTAGAACTCCAAATTCCTCTCTGGACCCTGCGAAGCCTTAAACCTCTCCTAGGAAGCTTGCTGGGTTACTCCTCAATCTAGTGTGAGACCCAATATTTACCGTTGGACCCTGTTTCTGGAAATGGAGAAAGCCCCGTTTCTGGTCAGGACGACTTAGAGGTTGCTGGGGACTGCAACTTGTATTTGCTCTGCTTATGTATTTGCATAGGCGCCTTTATTGGAGAGCCTGTTTTAAGCTTAAAAAATAAAAAAGCAGGTCTGTGTTCGCCCTCCCACGGGTGGGGGGCTAGACGCGCCGGTACTGTACCTCCCGCCCAGGGCCCTCTCTAGGGTGCGCGCCGCCGCCTCCCGCCTCCCCGCCTGGGCGGGGGCGGGGCGCGCTGTTTAAAGTGGCGGCGCCTCTTCGGGCAGCGGCTGCAGCTCCGCAGCCAGAGGTTCCCGCCGGGCCAACGCCGCCGCCGCCCGACGGGACCAGCCCGCGCCACTGCCCCGGACCCGAGCAACCCCCGCGGCGCCAGCCTCGCCATGCGTCAGGTGCGTGCGCCCCACGCCCCGACAGTCCCACGGGGGGCGAAAGAGGGAGCCACTTTTATTCCGCGCGCCCCGGCCGCTGCTAGGCTCCTCTCCCTTGTGGGCTGCAGGGTGCCCGTGGTGGGAGCTCCTGGCTGGCTAGGTCCTGGGTGACTGGGTGGCAGGGTGGCATGTAGACGCAAATTCAAATGCATGGGAAAGGATCCATGGGTCCTAGACCTGCTGGGATTTGGAGTTTGGCGCCAGACTGGGGCTTCCAAGAATGTGTTCTAATGCATAAAGCCCACCTGCACTAAAGTGAGTTCATAGTTCAGTGGGCACCCCCTATCCAGGAAGTGGGGCACACCACTGCTGTGTCCTGTGGGGGACAAGATACCAGTGGGATACCTCGGCTCCTGGGCGGGATCTTGTCTCAAATTAGGTAACATAATTTTCCACCTTCCCCAGTGGGTGTCACCCTGAGGAGACACCTGCAGGCTTGTGCCCACCCAGTCCTACTTTGGCAGGGGAGGGAAGAAAGGGCTGGAGTTGCTCAGTGAAGGTGGAAGGGAGCCTCACTCCAGCCCCCTTGCCTTCCTGTCTCTAAAGCAGGGCACGGGGAGGGAGGTCTGGCCTGCAGAAAGAGTTCTCCACTTTTCTGCAGAAAACCCATCTTGGCCAATATTGCACCTCTACTTCTCTTTTAGAAAACACTAGAAATTTACTCTGTGGAGGTCAATGGAAATAATGCCATGGAGAATGCAGACAAGGGGGGTGGCAAGGAGAAGTACAAGGGCCTGAAGAACAACTGCCAGGAACGCGGAAAGAATCACCCAAAAGAAGAACTCAAGAAAGAACTCGATCTGGTCAGTCCATTTAGTCCTTAAGTGATAGAGACTGCCCTTCCCTGAGAGTTTGCCCTTCTAACCTACCTCCTACAAAAGGAAAATCAGTCTCAATGATTTGAACATCCCTGGAGATTTCATTCCTTATCTTTTGTTTTGTTTTTTGTTATGTTTTGTTTTTTTTCATTGTGATAACATCTGCCCAGGGGTCAGGTCTCTGCTGGATGCCTGGTTCTGGTTGTAGGCACTTTCAGGTAGAACTCAGAGAAGAGTCTGTTCCAGTCCCCAACTGGTATGGCCCAGACCTCACTCCTTCCTGGTGCTTCAGACATAGAAGTGCCCACTTGTCAGTTTTTAGCTGACTTGGTAAATCATTTGAGCCAGAGCTGCCACAAAGGAGGACCACGACCACTAAAAATGGCTGGGTTTCTGGGCAGATGTGCTCTGGGAACTAATAGTTTCATGGTGAGAATGTTGGACTGGGACTCAGGACCCAGAGGCTCAGTTGAAGCTCTCCTCCAAGGATTGATCTCTCACTGGGGCAAATGATCTGTCTTCACTGAAGTGCCATTTTCTTCATGGAAAATGGAAAATAAGCAATTTGCATGGGTCTGTGAGGGAAAAGAAGGAGACAAGAAAGAGAGTACTTTGTAGCTGACAGTGCCTTATGGAAGCATATTATAATTACTATTAAGGCAGAACCTTGGTGCAGAGGCTGCCTGTGGGACAGAAAGGCATCAATCTGAATGTGACAGGTTGATCTCAGGAATGCAAAGGGGGAACTTTCATACTGAGCTGCAGATTTTGCTGAATTTTCCTGTAGTTCATTGCAGACTTTAAAACTCTGTGATTATTTGAGCAGAGGGTAGGAGTGTGAGTTCATTTGACCTAGAGACCATACTTGTATATTGTTAAATATTCAGAAATTTGTCAAGCTAATTGACATCCTGTTAGTAGCTTAACACTGGCTATCATAGACAGCAAATGCTTTAAATCAACAAATGCGGCCAAAAGAGCTTTTCTTTTTTTCTGGAGAGATAGGTACAAGTTGAGAGAACACCTCTAAGCATTTTGCCCATGTATGTTCTGATATACACATTCTACAACAGCCTGAAAATTGGAGTAACCTGAATCAATCCCAGTTTGACTGAAGTTGTGTTTCCTATTTTGAAAAACAGGAAAAATGGTGCCTACGTCTTAGAGTTAGGAGGGTTAAATGAGGTGAAGTAAGAGAAAGACTTAGCACAACTCCACACAACAGCCATTCTTATCTCCTGTGTAGCTCTAGCATTGAGAATCAAAGACACATATAGTCTTCTGGAATTGCTACTTACAACATGACTATATATCCATTTATCAATGCCTGTTTATTATGATAAGATTTGAAGATGGATACTTCTAAGTAATTTCCAAGGATCAGCCAAAGTTTCCCTGCTGAGAAAGGAACATCTTTCTTTCCCTGTTTTCCCCTAACTTTCTCACAATTTGTGACAGTGCATTTGGGTGCTCCTGCATCCTGACCTCTCCAGCAAATTATAACCTTGTTGAGAATTAAAGTATCTCTGAATAAAGAAGGGGATGATGCCGCATAACGATACCTATGTTATTCCAGTGCGGGCCAGCAGAGTGCGCTCCAGAGCCCCCGGCTCCTCTGCTCCTGCCCCATGCTCTCCAAAGCCAGGAATAAAGGCAGGACGGGATTCTGTTTCACGGTATTGGCCCCTGAAAGTCTGATATCAGTTCATGCGAAGATGGCTGCAACCATCTGTGATTTGTAGCTGCCCAGAACTAAGACTGCTGTGTACATAACTGTGTCCTAACTATTTGAATCTCCAGCAATATCACAGTCAGTTGGGAATGGTGCAATCATAAATGCGCAAAACAGACTCTGGCCTAGAAGGGAGCCAAAAAAAAAATTTGAAAAATCCAATCTCTTAATGCAACATGCAGCTTTCTTACCTATAGTTAAGAAAAGACATGGCTCTTGTACCAAGCACAGTATAAACAAATCTCTATTTCTGACAATTAGAGCTTAAAGAATCCTGAGTGGAATGAGGTAAATAAGTCTTGGTCTGGATTTTCTGCCACAGGAAGAGGCTTCTTGTCCTTTATTCCAATGGCTCTCAAATGGAGAGGAGATGATGATTTAACAATGCCTAGAGATGTTTCCAGTTACCTCCACCCCAAGGAGGGTGCTAATGGGCCCATCTAATGGGTGGAAGCCCCCATAACAAAGAGTTATTGACCAAAATAATAATGCCACTCTGCTAAAGTCTAATGATTCTGTGGCAAAATTAGTGAGTGAGGCTATACTGGTGTGCATTTGGCAGGTTTTTAACCTTCAGGGCTTCTCTAACCAGTAAGCTGCTTTGCCTCAAGAATAAGGGCAGGTCTGCTTCTCTCTCAGAGGCCACCCATCCAACAAAGCTACATGTCAGAAGAGTTGTCAAAACATGAGAAATGGCTCTGGTGTGGTTTTGCTTCTCACCCTCCATGCATTCCAGAATTCAGTTTTGAGCAGGAAGTGTCTTAGCAGCAACTACCTAGATAGCAGGTGTGCTCAGGTTTATGAGGCAGAGGTGAGACTGAAGAAAAATGCATTGCTTTGTCCATAAAAACTACGGAAAGCTGTGCAGTAAATGAATTGTTAAATCTGAACTCTTCAGGGATGGCCAGAAATCCCCTGGTCTGTGAATCGAAACAAGTCTCTCCTGCAACAAGACTCTCTTTCCTCCCCACAACAGCACCAGGCCCAATGGTGTCTTTCTTCCCCACTCCTTCCTCTCCTCCCAACCATTCTCCCTTCCTCACTGCCACTCCCCCCTTCACAGCCTGGCCAGTGTTGGGATGACTAAATTCACTCAATTCTTCCTTTTATGGATTTCAGGATGACCACAAACTCAGCAACAAGGAATTGGAAAAGAAATACAGTACAAACATCATTATGGTAAGAGACTGGGAACTAGCGTGTGGGAAGAAAAGCCCTTATCTACACAGAGGAGCAGCCTGTGTGCTCAGAGGTGTGGAAAAGTTGCTGTGCGTTCAGCACCTTAGAAGTACTATTGACCTGTAGCAACTGTCATCCATATGCCTAGCCTGGGAGAGCGGGCTGGGAGCTAGCTTGTCTCAGCCAAGGCCCCAGAGAAGCCCCTGGGCTGAGCAACTGCTGTAGTAAATAATTATTTTGCCCATGACACAAGGAAAGCTGTGATGTCCCCAGAAGTGTTCAGATCTTTTCTCACTGCCATGGACTGACTGTGCCCTCTCAGTTCTCAAAACTTCCCCACCAGGGAAGTGTTACTTCTGTTAATTCAAATGCAAACTAAATTTCACAAGTGTTGGTGTCTTGACCTGAAGAGAGGCAGAGACATCTTTCAAGACAACAAAATTATCTACTGTGTGCTACATACTGAGCTAGTCACGAGAGGGTTAAGGAAGAGCAGTCATCTCTGCTATTCAGAAGTGACAGTTCTGAAGGGTGGTGATGTGTAAGCAAGTATCACAGCATCTTCCCTGTGCACTAAGGTGGGGAACAAGAGATGTAAACTATGCACTGAGAAAGTGATGAGTTCTGACAGTGATTTGATAAAATTGGTTTTCCAAAGGCAGTTTTGGTGTATGGCAGTACCTGGAGGAATGGGGGAGTGATCCAAGACTGAAATAGGGCAGCAGCTATAGGGTAGGAAAGGGACTTTTTCAGTAAAATAAGTGATAGAGCTTTGCATTAATGAACTCTTTCTCAGGGTCTCTCCAGCACCCAAGCTGCTGAGCGCCTTGCTAAGAATGGGCCCAACATTCTCACACCTCCCAAGAAAACCTCAGAGATCATCAAGTTCCTGAAGCAAATGATGGGGGGCTTCTCCATCCTTCTGTGGATAGGTGCCGTCCTGTGCTGGAGCGCCTTTGGGATTCAGTACTCCCAAGACCCATCCACATCCTTTGACAATGTAAGACCCTAGGACCTGCTTCCTGATTTGCTGAAATCGTGGTAGGAGAAAATAGACCATAAAGTATGGCCCTTAGTAGGCAATGCCTGGGCTTAGTGTAGGAATCTGCTGCTGAACATCACTATGGAGCTCAGCAAGAGCAGTAATCATCCCAGCTGTAAAAAAGAAGTGTGTCTCAGTGATGTGCCACAAGCAGTGTGAACATACATTTTAAAGAGAGAGCTGGAGAGAGAGAAACACTCTGTTGTTTCCTAGATAAAAACAACAAAATAGACATATGTGAAGCATTTTGGGGCTCTCCCCAAACCTATTTCTGTTGCTTTATCATGGTGAGCATCTCTGCCCACTGAGAACCAAATTGGCTCACATGACATTAAGAGAAGAAGGCAAATGCCAGAGGCCATGTGCTGTGCTCAACAGAACACCACAACCCAGCAATAGAACCACAGGGATGGGACAGGCACAGGGCGGGGTGAGTGATGATGGGAGATGGGTCTGCTGGGATGAGGAAGTTGTCCTAAAACTGCATTTGGGGGATTGCTATACATCTGTGTAACTAAAAATCATTGACTTTTTTACTTTCCATGAGTGAATGTGGAATTTGCAAATTCCACCAGGACACAGTGCTCTCTCTCTTCAATTCCTGTAGCTTCATCCCTGATCTGGCTCCTCCTAATGCCTGTTTTTTGATCCTGCTCTCCTTACCAGGTGTACTTGGGCGCTGTGCTGGTTCTGGTTGTTATTTTAACAGGAATCTTTGCTTACTACCAAGAGGCAAAAAGCACCAACATTATGGCCAGCTTCAGCAAAATGATTCCACAAGTGAGTAGTCCACTCCCTCTGGTCTCTCTGTGACTTCAGGTGAGGAAGTCTCTGTATGAATTCATGTAGGAGGGCAGACTGGGGCAGAGGTCCTGCTCTCTACCCTTCCTGCCCTTGCTGTCCAAGAAGTCTGGGGCAAGTGACCTCATCTCTCTCATCAGCAAGTGAAGATTCAGAGAAATGCTTAGTTTAGAATCATGCAAAGGGGAAGAAGTGCTAGGAACACATCTCATGGGGAGCTTGGCAGAAGTGAGTCAGGAGGTCCTGGGAATAAAATAGAAGTTTAAGGGTGCTCACTGCACTGAAGAGCCCAAATTCTGATTCTTATCTGTGACAATTTTTGCTTCCCTGAGGTTCCCTGAGGTGGCCTGTTCTCAGGGCAGGGGACCTGCTCTCCTCTTCTCAGGGTGTTAGGTGTCCTCTAGGGAGATTAGGCACATAGTCCCTACCACTGAGTTCCAGCTGGAAGGGGTGAAGGGGGCCTCCTTGTGTGCTGAGATGTAGGAGAGCTTTCTCCCCCTCCAACCTGAGCAAGATGATTCTGCCTTTGGCCTAGCCCTCCCTGAGGATTGGACCCCCAGCCAGGGTTGCTCATCCTTCATCAGCTCCTTCCTGTCAGACCTGAGCTTTCATTTGTTCCATCTGCCCCAGGCAGCATTTTCTACTTCAAAAACATCTCTCTGAGCTCCGTCTCAAGAAAAAACTGTCATTAGGGTCTTTGGGCCCCGAGTGAGGATCTTTGATTCCACTCTTTGCCAAATGGCAGCTGTGGGCTGTGGGGCCCCCATTCCTGTCATTTGGCATCATCCCAGAACTGAGTCATGCTCACATTTTCTTTCCCAGCAAGCTCTGGTTATCCGAGATTCAGAGAAGAAGCCCATCCCAGCAGAACAGCTGGTGGTGGGGGACATAGTAGAGATCAAAGGAGGGGACCGAATCCCAGCTGACATCAGGCTTCTGTCTGCTCAGGGGTGTAAGGTGAGGTCTCGGGTTCCCCCAATGTGCTCATACTCACTGCCTTTCTGTGTGTCTCCCAATCTCGTCTCCCAATCTCAGTGCTTTGGGGCACAGACCACAGGACCTGATCCTGAACTGTTCCCAACATTCCTTCCAGGTGGATAACTCCTCTCTCACTGGTGAATCTGAGCCCCAATCCCGCTGCTGTGAGTTCACCCACGATAATCCTTTGGAGACCAAGAACATTGGCTTCTATTCCACAACCTGTCTGGAAGGTGAGTCTGGCTGTTGCCAGGGCCTGTGCCCATCCAGGTCACTTTCCCCTCCTCTGGCCTGTGGACTTGACTCTTTGCATCTCACAGAGCTATCCCAGAGCTTCTCCCAGAGCAAGCAGGGAACTAATGCTTGGACTTTAATGTAATATGCTGACAGTGTTGTCACCACCCAAGGAAGGCCCGTAAGTAGCTGTGGTCCTCTGGCTGAGGACCTGGAGGAACATGTCTGCTTCTCCTGCAGGCACTGCAACCGGAATGGTCATCAACACGGGTGACCGCACCATCATCGGTCAGATTGCCTCCCTGGCTTCTGGTGTTGGAAACGAGAAGACACCCATTGCCATCGAGATCGAGCACTTTGTCCATATTGTGGCAGGAGTGGCTGTCGCCATTGGTGTCATTTTTTTCATCATTGCGGTGTCCATGAAGTATGGGGTCCTGCAATCTATCATCTTTCTCGTTGGCATCATCGTAGCCAATGTGCCCGAAGGTCTTCTGGCCACTGTCACTGTGAGTCAGGCTGCTAGGTGTCCTGTTCCCTGACCCTGTTAGCACAGTCCATCCTGCTCCACCTAGTGAGCTCCCCCACAGTACGTCCCTCCTTCTGCAGAGCCACAGCATCTCCCCATCTCAGACAACCCTGGGATATTCCAAATGGACTGTTCCCTAAGGGAACAAAAGGACTTGTGACATTGTTAACACTTAACTGTATTATCCTTGAAAAATTTCATTTTGGTTTTCAGGAGTTCCATTTGCAAGGCATGTATGAGGCTGTGACCCTTAGGTAGACTCTACCCTCAATTCCAGGTTTTCTAGAAGCCTGATGCCTTTCCCACATTTCCACATTTCTGAAAATGAAAAACAAAGAAAACCAACTTCCACAGCACTTTCTACAATTGAGGAACCTAGGACATAGTTCACTTCCCTCCCCTCCCCCCCTCAGACACACCTGCACAAATTCCTCCAGCTCTTTTCTGCAAAACAATTAACCCTTCTCAGCCCTGACCCCTAAATTAACCTTTTTGGCCTCCCTTTGTAAGGACCTATCTGAATCATTCTGAAACAGAAGGCCCCACCCCCATCTCTCCTATGGGGCCTGTGAGTAGGAGAAGAGGGCTTATGTTTGCATTACATATAAAGGGCCCACGTAGTCATCAGCCTGCTGTGTCCTGTGCAAAGGGAAGAGAGGTCTTTGACTCCAGTAGGCAGTCATCTGAAGAAATTAAAGCCAAAAGAATGCTATGGGATCTGGGGTTTTAAAAGACAGAGTTAAGAATCTTTAAATACTGAGCTCCTAAAATGAAATACAAATGCCTCTTGATCCCCCAAGAGCAGAATTTGGGACAGGTTCTTTAGCACATGCTGTGAGTGACTTGAGCTGGCAGCCACAGCTCCCTTTACAATTTCCTCTGAGTACCACATTCACAGCTGGTGACTTTGCCACCCAGGGGTTCTCAGAATCAGGTTCATCAAGGGGTAAAGGGACAAAAAAGGTGTCCTGTGTTTAATACATTGGGCTTCATAGTAGTTTCATCTGCTGAATCAGTTTAGCAAAACTTTTGTGACTGCAGCTCTGTCCTGACCCCAGAGCAGCTCTCCAGAAAATCCATCATGGGTGACCTTAGCTATTTCTATGTCATTTAACTGGAGTTCCCAGAGATTATTCTTCCCATAGCTTCTCTCACTCTCTTTCTCTGTTGTCCAGGTCACTCTGTCACTGACAGCAAAAAGGATGGCTAAGAAGAACTGCCTAGTAAAGAACCTGGAGGCAGTGGAGACCCTGGGGTCCACCTCCATCATTTGCTCAGACAAGACTGGCACTCTGACCCAGAACAGGATGACCGTGGCCCATCTGTGGTTTGATAATCAGATCTTCATGGCTGACACCAGTGAGGACCATTCAAGTGAGTCTTTTGGAATATGCCCGCTGACCTAATGCCAGGGATAGGAGCAGAGGGGACTGAACTCAACATGCCTCGTGGGTCTGCATTTTCGTATCTATGGATGGCAGATTCCTTGAGAGCAGACCCTGTCCTCAGGGCACCCACTGGCCTTCCTTTTTTCCAGATCAAGTCTTTGATCAAAGTTCTGGAACCTGGGACTGCTTATCGAAGATCATAACGTTGTGTAACCGAGCTGAATTCAAGCCAGGACAGGAGAGTGTCCCCATCATGAAGGTAATAATCCAGCAACCTGGGTCTCAATCATGGCCACTCAGAGGTCATATTCTCTGCTCTGATTTGGTGAGTGATTTAATCTCTACAACCAAATAAAAGTGAATAAGAATAGGTTTGACAGTAAGACCGGCAGAAAACTTTCTTCACTCTCCCCAGCTTTAACAGATCACAGAGAAGCTAAATGTTCTCAGAATATTCATTTAGGTCTTTGGAAAATTCCAACACATTCCAGAAGATAATAAGTGACTTTCCTAACTTCTTTACCAGATAAGTGTATATAGTAAAATTTCATTATTTCATAAAAACTATTCACTGAAGTTTAAAATATAATTGAATGGACATTGGGCTGATCTTAGGACATATTCTCCTGGCAGCAAATGGAATTCTAAGAGATCCTAAATGTTTGAATATGCAATAAATAATTTCCCTTACCTTCCCTCTTTTTCTCACCTTCCCTCTATTTATTCATCTCTTTTTCTCTTCCTTTCCATCTCTGTCCCTCTTCTTCTCCCTTAGTCAGTGGCTCAGTTCCACAGACTTGTCTATTTGTCCTATGTCCGATATTGACACTTTTTCTTTTATATATTTGTTGTTTGTTATTCTTTCTTTATAAGATGACTCATCATTCTTTTGTTGACCAAGTACTTCTTTGTCAGTATCTTCAAATTCTTATTTCCAGATTTTATTTTTAACCACACTCCATGGACCTCTAGCCAGTTTGTGTTTCTGCTTGGAAGTTTTGCCATGTTAGACTCTCAACAACTTATACTTGTCTCCTTCCATCTGTACCCAACCTGACTTCAAATCAGTATCTTGTCCCAAATATTCTATTTTTCTATTTTACTTGTCACCCCAGACCAAAACTTTCTCCTTTCCTTATATCTGGTGAGTCACCAAGTCCTGTCATCCTTGCTTCAAAATATCTATAATTTTTTTTGGTTTCAGGTCTTATGTCCAGTTTTTTTTATCCATTTTGAGTTGATTTTTGTGCACGGTGAAAGGTAGTAGTATAGTTTCATTTTTTGCATGTGGTGGTCCAGTTTTCCCAGCATCATTTATCGAACACACTGTCCATGTTCCATTCTTTGCTCCTTTGTCCAAGCATATTCTTTGCCCCTTTGTCAAAGATCAGTTGTCCATATAAGTGTGGTTTTATTTCTGGGCTGTCTGTTCAGTTCCATTGGTCTGTGTGTCTGTTTTTGTTCCGATACCAAACTGTTTTAATTATTATGGCTTTGTAGTATAGCTTGAAGTTTGGAAGTGTCCTTTCTCCTTTATTTCTCCTTTATTTTCATAAGTAGGGCTTTGGCTATTCTTGGTTTTTTGTGGTCCCATATGAATTTCATCAATATTTGTTGTATTTCTTTGAAGAATGTCATTGAGATTTTTATTGGAATAGTGTTGAATCTGTATTGCTTTTGGTAGCATAGCCATTTTGATAATGTTAATTCTTCCAATCCATGAGCAGTGGATGTCTTTCCATTTCTTTGTGTCTTCTTCTTTGAACAGTGTTTTATAATTTTCTTTGTATAGGTCTTTCACCTCTTTTGTTAGGATTATTCCCAAATAATTGATTTTTTTGGTTTCAGTTATAAAAGGGATGGTTCTTGATTTCTTCTTCTTCAGATTGTTTGGTATAGGAAGGCTACTGACTTTTGTATGTTGATTTTGTATCCTGCTACTTTACTAAACTGGTTGATTATTTTGAGTAGTTTTTCTGTGGAGTTTTTAGGGTTCTCTATGTATATTATCATATCATATGCAAATAGTGATAGTTGTACTTCTTCTTTCCCTATCTTGATTCCTTGTATGTCTTTCTCTTTTCTTATTGCCCTGGTTAGGAACTCCAGTATTATATTGAAGAGCAGTGGTAAGAGAGGACACCCTTGTCTTGTCCCTGATCTTAAAGAAAAGGCCTTCAACTTTTCGCCATTGAGAATAATATTGTCTGTGGGTTTGTCATATATAGCTTTTTTTTAAAGATTTATTTATTTATTTATACAAACACTGGGTACAGTCAGAAGTGCAGGAGGGTGAGAGAATCCACCAGAGCCAGAGCAGGGAACAGAACAGGCAGACTGACGAAATACACTGCTGAGGGGATAGCGGATGTAGCAGGAGAGGTCTGTCACGCCATGTGGGACCCTTGCTGGTGGCCGGGGATCGAACCAGCACTGCAGAGGCTGTAGGCAGCTTCACAGTCCAGTGCTCAACCGCTTCGCCACCAGAGGAGGCCCTGTCATATATAGCTTTTATCATGTTAAGGTATGTTCCTTCTATCCCAAGAATTTCAAGGGCTTTCATCATAAATGGATGTTGGACTTTGTCAAATGCATTCTCAGCATCTGTTGATATAATCATATGGTTTTTATTTTTCTTTTTGTTGATGTGTTGGATTACACTGATCGAGTTTCGTATGTTGAACCACACTTGTGCCCCTGGGATGAATCCCACTTTGGTCATGGTATATTATCCCTTTGATGCATTGTTGGATTCTGTTGGCAAGGGTTTTGTTGAGGATTTTTGCATCCGTGTTCATTAGGGAGATTGGCCTCTAATTTTCTGTTTCTGTGCTGTCTTTGTTTGGTTTTGTTATTAGTGTAATGTTGGCTTTGTAGAACGTATTTGGTGGTACTCCTTCTTCAATTTTTTGAAAGAGTTTGTGTAGGATAGGCACTAATTTCACTGCTGAACATTTGATAGAATTCATTTGTGAGGCCATCTGGACCTGGGCTTTTTTTTTTTTTTTAATGAAATTTTATTACTTTTTAAATATATTTTTGAATGCATTATTGAGACTGCTTTGAGAGTGAGATTAATACACTTTAATCAAATTATCTATATACTCAAATTTACTGAAAATGGAAGGAGCTAATTTATTTTTTTTAAATAATAAATTTTATTTTTATATTCCCCATACAATTGCAACCCCCCCATTTTGACCCCAATCCCTCCCCTCCCACACCTCACCCCCCAAAAAGTGTCTCTGGTTCATAGTTATTTGTTGATTTTGATTTTCACTTTCTTATAGTTATTCATTTTCCTGGTCCCTTATTTAAGTTTTCTAGATTCCTGCTATGAGTGAGACCATCCGGTATTTTTCTTTTTCTTTTTGGCTTATTTCGCTGAGCATGATCCCTTCCAGCGCCATCCATGTTGCTGCAAATTGCATGTGTTTATCTTTTTTGAATGCTGAGTAATATTCCATGGTGTATATGTACCACATCTTCTTGATCCAGTCATCTATTTTTGGGCATTTGGGCTGTTTCCAAAGCTTAGCTATTGTAAACAGTGTTGCTATAAACATAGGGGTGCAGGTGTTCTTTGGAATTGATGTTTCTGTGTCCTTTGGGTAAATACCTAGGAGTGGAATTGCTGGATCATATGGAAGCTCTATGTTTAGTAGGTCCAGAAATTTCCACACAGCTCTCCATAGTGGTTGGACCAGTTTGCACTCCCACCAGCAGTGCAGGAGAGTTCCTTTATCTCCACACCCTCGCCAACATTTGTTGTTGCTAGTTTTCTTAATATGTGCCATTCTCACTGGTGTAAGATGGTATCTCATGGTAGTTTTGATTTGCATTTCCCTGATTACAAGTGATGTTGAACATTTTTTCATATGCCTGTTGGCCATTTGCATTTCCTCTTCAGAGAAGTTTCTTTTTAGCTCTTCTGGATTTTTTCTTTGTTGTTGTTGAGTCTCATCAGCTCTTTGCAGATTTTTGTGATCAGTCCTTTATCATTAGTGTTGTGTGCAAAAATGTTCTCCCAGTTAGTGGGGTTTCTCTTTGTTTTTGTTATTGTCTCTTTTGCTGTGCAGAAGCTCTTTAATTTGATGTAGTCCCAGCTGTTTATCTTTGCCTTCACTATCACTGCTTTGGGTGATGTGTCTGTAAAGATGTCTTTGATATGCAAATCACGTAGTGTTTCGCCTATATTTCCTTCTATGTATTTTATGGTTTCAGGTCTTAGGTCTAGTTCTTTAATCCATTTTGAGTTGGTTTTTGTGTATGGTGTGAGGTAGTGGTCAAGCTTCATTCTTTTGCATGTAGCGACCCAGTTTTCCCAGCACCATTTATTGAACAAACTTTCTTTGCTCCAATGCATAGTCTTTGCTCCTTTGTCAAAGATTAGTTGACCATAAATCTGTGGGTTTATTTCTGGATTTTCTATTCGATTCCATTGGTCTGTATGTCTGTTCTTGTTCCAGTACCATGCAGTTTTGATGATTATGGCTTTGTAGTAGAGTTTGAAGTCTGGGAGTGTGATGCCTCCATTCCCTTCTTTTTTTTTCAGGAGAGCTTTGGCTATTCGGGGTTTTTTGTGATTCCATATGAATTTCATCAATAATTGTTCTATTTCTTTGAAGAATGACATTGAAATTTTGATGGAATAGCATTGAATCTGTATATTGCTTTTGGTAGGATGGCCATTTTAATAATGTTTATTCTTCCAATCCATGAGCAGGGGATGTCTTTCCATTTCCTTGTGTCTTCTTCTATTTCTTTTAACAGTGTTTTATAGTTTTCTTTGTATAGGTCCTTTACCTCTTTTGTTAGATTTATTCCCAAATATTTGATTTTTTTTGTTTCAATAATAAAAGGGATTTTTTTTTTTAATTTCTTCTTCTTCAGATTTATTGTTTGTGTATAGGAAGGCTACTGACTTTTGCGTGTTGATTTTGTATCCTGCCACTTTACTGAACTGATTGATGAGTTGAATTAGTTTTTCTGTGGAGTTTTTGGGGTTCTCTATGTATATTATCATATCATCTGCAAATAGTGATAGTTTGACTTCTTCTTTTCCTATTTGGATTCCTTGGATGTCTTTCTCTTGTCTTATTGCTCTGGCTAGGACTTCCAGTATTATATTGAAAAGCAGTGGTGAGAGTGGACATCCTTGTCTTGTTCCAGATCTTAATGGAATTGCTTTCAGCTTTTCACCATTGAGAATGATACGGGCTGTTGGCTTGTCATAGATGGCCTTTATGATGTTGAGGTATGTTCCTTGTATCCCAAGAATTTCAAGGGCTTTTATCATGAATGGGTGTTGCACTTTGTCGAAAGCTTTCTCAGCATCTATTGATATTATCATATGGTTTTTATATTTCTTTTTGTTGATGTGTTGGATAACGTTGATTGATTTTGGGATGTTGAACCATCCTTGTGTCCCTGGAATGAATCCTACTTGGTCGTGGTGAATTATCTTATGGATACATTGTTGGATTCTGATAGCTAAAATTTTATTGAGGATTTTTGCATCAGTGTTCATTAGGGAGATTGGCCTGTAGTTTTCCTTTTTTGTGTTGTCCTTGTTCGGTTTTGGTATTAGTGTAATGTTGGCTTCATAGGACGTGTTTGGTATTGTCCCTTCCTTCTCAATTTTTTGGAAGAGTTTGTGAAGGATAGGCACTAATTCGTCTCTGAATGTTTGGTAGAATTCATTTGTAAATCCATCAGTGGACCTGGGCTTTTGTTTTTGGGGAGTGCTCAATTTCGCTGCTTGTAATTGGTCTGTTTAGGTGTTCTATTTCTTCTTTGTCCAGCTTTGGGTGATTATATCATTTTAGGAATTTGTCAATCTCTTCAAGCTTATTGGATTTGTTTGCATGTAAGTGTTCATAGTAATCTCTGATTATTCTTTTGATTTCTACTGAGTCTGTTGTGATTTCTCCTCTTTCATTTATAATCCTATTTATATAATGTTTTCTCCCATTTTTTTCTTTGTGAGCGTGGCTAGAGTTTTGTCTATTTTGCTTACTTTTTCAAAGAACCAACTTTTGGTTTCATTGATCTTTTGAGTTGTTTTTTTAATTTCCATTTTGTTTATTTCTGCTTTGATTTTTATTCTTTCCTTTCTTCTACTGGCTTTAGGGTTTTTTTTTTTTGTTGTTGTTGTTGTTCTTTTTCTAGCTCTTTGAGATGTGAGATTAGGTTGTTTCTCTGAGTTCTTTCTTGTTTCTTCATGTAAGCCTGCATTGCTATATATTTTCCACTTATTACTGCTTTTGCTGCAGCCCATACATTTTGGAAACTGGTTTCCTCCTTGTCATTCAATTAAAAAAAAATCTGTAATTTACATTTTTGTTATCACCAACATCTTGCATCTAAATAACTACCAACCTCTTAATTGGCCTCCACAATTCCAGTTTAACCCTCCCCCAGTATTTTTTGTATGCTAATGTTTTTTTCTTAAATATTGCATTAGATGAAGCACTTTATCTAACTTAGCTCAAAATTGTTCCATACTTCTCTGTCTTCTGCTTCTTGAGTCTAGCCTCTTCAGACTATCTTACAGGTCCTTATTTCTCGCCCCCACATCCACTGTGCCTCTAGGACTTACAGCAGAACTGTATTATTTCATGCTTCCTCCATAGCACACTGGTTCTAGAAGGTGTTCTTCTGCTTGCCATGTATCAATAATCCACTGTTTTTCCAGATTTGGTTCATAGCTGCTTTTTTATGAAACCTCAGCTCTCCTAGTCTAATTTTTTTTATGAACTTGCCTAAAGCTAGTGGAACCATTAAGTTTAACACTTTTACCATGGTCACAACCCTTCCCCAGTTGTGGTATAGTTTCCCTCTCTGAATACATGCTAAGCTTAGACAAGAGAGGTATTGGGCCCCTGAAAATAGTCACAAAAGAAACAGATTATGCCTCACAAATGTTTTTTTTGTTTCCTTTGATTTGTAGAAAGTTGTGGTTGGAGATGCCTCAGAAACTGCTCTCTTGAAATTCTCAGAGGTCATTTTGGGAGATGTGATGGAAATTCGAAAAAGAAATCGCAAAGTAGCTGAGATCCCTTTTAACTCAACCAACAAATTTCAGGTGAGTATTTTCTCACAAGTAAATCCTGTATCACTAGAAACACACTTCTTACCTGCACGTCTCTTGGTTAGTTTGTAATTTGAATTATACTCAACTCAAAAATAGAACTCAGCCACAGGGTCTGGGATTCTGGCAAACACAGAATAGATTTCCTTTGCTGGGTCTTTCCTTTACCTGAAGAAGGTAGAGAAAAAGAGAAAGGTAGGCAGGGCCACAATCTCTCTCTCTCTCACACACACATATATACACACACACACACACACACACACCCCAGCCTTCCCATTCCTCACTGGTAACATTTGCACAAGTGAGAGGACAGGTGCTCCACAAGGGTAAGTGACAGGTGGGGAGAGAGGAGAAATGACATTTTCTGCCCCCTTAGTCTTATCAGGTACTTTCTTCATCCATTATCTTGTTTAGGCCTCACAATGAGACTATGAGTTTAGGATAGATTCATCTCAATATATAGGTGAGGAAACAAGCCCTTAGAAGGTATAGACATGACCAGAATCACACAGGCATCTAAGTGGTACAAGGATTTTCACACATCTGTTTGACTCCCAAGTCTTTACTTTCTCTACCACAATACAGAAGCCAAGCAGTTCATTTAAAGCTCTGTGAAGAAGGCTTAGCCTGTGAAGACAATCAGCAGTCTCTCGATGAACAGCCATGTACAATAGCAGGGCTCTCCTTTCCACTCAGAAAGAGATGACTATCTCACATTTTACCTCATTCCTGGAGTGACCAATGATAAGCCATTTCCATTTTCCTCACGATAAGACTAATGACAGTGAAACCCAAGGAAGGGTTTCCCTAAAACTCTCAGGCTGAGAGGGAGCCATCACTACTCAGTCTTTGCATGACAGTCAAGTCTATAAACAGGATTACACATTGTGTGGAAGTTCCTGGTGATTAGAAAAGAATTGTTTCTGTTGCTAACATCTATGTGGCTAAAAGACCAATAAAGAATCTTAGTTAGACAATTAACAAAAACATATGGTATAAAATATGAAAGCCAGGAAACCAGATCTCTTGTTCTACATAAGTGGAAATAGGATGAGTAACAATTCTAAAATGACAGTATAATGATACCTATTCTGTACTAATTTCCATATGTATTAAACCACTCAATTCTCTCTAAGTAGGTAAAGAATGAGGAAACAAGTCCAGGCATCATCACACAGTGAATGAGGCCAGAACAGAGCCCACACAGACCCAAGGAGTCTATGCACATAGAAGAGGTGTGAGGAACTTCCCATCGAGGACAGGCTCAGAGTCCTGTTGGGGCTCCATGTACTCCAGTGGAGACTTTCCTTTACTGAATTTGAGGTATAAGAAAAAGCAGGTTCCCTGAAGCATCATGTACAAAGTTGAGGGAGAAAGTGGGCTACATAGAGTTGGGAATGGAAAGGAGAGAGGGTGCTATGCATATCCTGCTAGAGGTCAGAAGACCCTTTGGGGGCTGTTAGTACCATTTAGATCCCAGATAAGGAACACTTAGCCCCAAAGACAAGAGATGTGTAGGGTATCATGACCTTGGAAGGCCTCTGGGTATCCCTCAACCACAGGAAACAAAGCAGAAAGTCTTAGTCTTATTGATCTTAGGAATAGCAATTCCCTTAGAATAGCAATTCCCCAAAATTCCAAGACTGGTCCATGGAAAATTTTTTCATAGTTCATAGCAAATTGGGAAATTAGCACAATATTTTCTAACATTTTATATAAAGAGAAATGCATTTGGGCCTCGCTGGTGGTGCAAGAGGTTAATACACAGCACTATGAAGCTATCCACAGCCACTGCAGCACAAGTTTGATCCCCGGCCAGGTAGCTGACCCACATGGCGCAGCAGGCCTCTCCTGTCTCACCCGCTGCTCCCCTCAGCAGTGTATTTCAGTAGATGCGCCTGTTCTGCTCTCTGCTCTGTCTCTGGTGAATCCTCTCACCCCCCGCATCTCTGGCCTACACTTCAACTTTGTATGCATGAATAAATAAATGTTTAAAAAAAATAAAGAGGAATGCGTTTAACTGAAAAGATTGTCCTTTATGCCTTCCATGATTAAGGCATAAGCAGTTCCCATGCCTCTCTCTCTGGAGCCTGCAGGCTTGAGTTCCAGCCCAGATCAGCTACATTACTGTGCAACCCACACAGCCCTTTCACCACTTTTCCTTCCCTTTAAAAGGTTATAGTAATGGTACTCAAAGTCTTAGCAAGGAACTCTAAATTAGATTAAATGAATCGCTGTGGGAAGTGCTTAGAAACACACTATGTACATGTTTATTATTATTTCTACTTTTAAAATGTTAACACATCCATCTTTAAGAAAATTCTAGTGATAATTAATGGAAGTTTTTGTTTTGGTTTAGTTTTATTTTAGTTTTGGTGGTTTGGTTAGTTGGTTTTTAATGTCTTCACTTGGCTGTAAAGTGTTATTTACTTTTTAGTTTATTGTATTCATCTCTGATTTAGAATCAACTGATAGACCCCACATGCTAGAATTTTTCTTTGCAGATTACTCATTCTCTCCCACAATCCAACCTTCTGATATTCTTTTATTGGTCTTAGAAGAATATTTGATATATAATAGAGGCCACATAAGAGCTAACCTCATAAGAGTTATCAATTTTATTATTTTATTATTTTTCATATACTCACATTTTTTCCAGTTTTCATTAAGGTGAAATTGCCAAGTTAAGGGTATTAATGTTCAAATTATGATACCTATTTCTTAGCTGCCCTTCTGAGCCTGTGCATGAGTTGTCCACTGTCTCACACCCTCCCACTTCTTCCTGCCCAAATGTTCAGACTCCATGAAGGTGAAGGTAAAGAGGCTCAGAGAGTCCTATTGCCTTCATGCTGACTGAGCTCAGAATCACTTGGGTCTGAGAGACTACTGCTCAAAATAGCGAGGGACAGAGGGGAGATGACATGCAAATTGCAGCCCCTGACCCCAGAGGTACCAGAGATTATGATCAAGGCATGAGATTTCAGAGGTTGACAGGCACATCCACCTGCCTGCAGCAACCAGTTTCTGTGTGAAAGGTAATCTCCACTTGACCACAAAATACAGAGTCTAGATCTCACCTGCAGAAAACACTCCTCTTCATACTTCATGTTCATATGACCCAGTGAGAGAAGGGGATATTTTCATCTCTTGTCATGCTGTTAATTGAAAGATCTGACCGGCTCAAATCTTTGTGGTGAGGATGCTGTCGCTTTGTGGCAGGCTATAGTGATGTGTTCACCACCTCCCTCCAGCTCTCCATCCACGAGACTGACGATCCCAATGACCAGCGCTTCCTCCTGGTGATGAAAGGGGCCCCTGAGCGGATCTTAGAGAAGTGCAGCACCATCATGATCAATGGCCAGGAACAGCCTCTGGACAGGAACACCACTGAGGCCTTCCACACGGCCTATATGGAGCTGGGGGGCCTTGGGGAGCGTGTGCTGGGTGAGTCCTTGCAGCAGACCCTTGCCATCACCATCAGGGAGGTTCAGTGCTGGCTCAGGGCACAACTTAGACAGCTTATCTCTAGTAGAGTAGCTGTGATATACACGTGCATCATAAAAAATAAGGTAGACTCCGTGGCAAGCACATCAGAGATGCTATGTGACTGCACCAGGGACCAGGCCACTTCCAGATAAGGAATATCGGGGAAGATTTTATCAGGGAAGGAGCTTCCTTGTGAACAGGGCCTTGAATGGCAGAGTATTTAAGGAAGGTGGGAAGTAGTCACAGTGTCAGGAACCACCTAGGCCGAGCTCGGATGTGGAAGTAAGTGGGCATTCACGTACCTGGTATGAAAGGCAGTCTGTGAGCAGTGGAACAGGTGGATGAGGCGACAGTTGTGGAAACAGAGCTGGAAAAACAGACAGGAAGTCAGGACATGGAGCACTTATGAGTGTGAGGAGCTGCAGTTTCACTCTGCAGTTACTGAGAAGCTGCTAAAGTGAAGGAAGCGATCCATTGCAGTGTTTTCTGAAGTGTAATAATTCTCAGCAGCAGCCTGAGAGTAGAGACCTGGGTCTCAGCAAGAGGGGACTGCCTCATTCAGGGGAAAGAGGGTGAGAGTTTGATCCAAGGCACTGGGGACATGAAAGAGGCATCAGATAAAAGGTACTCTATGGAGGCTGGATTGGTAAGACTGACCAACTAGTTAGAGGGGGAAAGTAAGTTTAAAAAAAGTAATGAAGCTATCCACTTCATGATTAAGGGAAAGTGCTGCCAGCAACTGAGACAGGGGATTGCAGAAGTGGAAGTAGCCTAAGAGATACACCAACAATGCCAAGAATCTGGTGGTGGTGACTTAAAGGTATCACAGGACAAGTCCTGTTGTAACAATTGTGGATTGACAAAACTGTACCTCAGAAACACAGAAGGGTGAATTCAGGTAACAGAAGGTCATGGTTTATGATAAGGCTCATTTAATCTTATAAAAGATCTTGCCAATAGAACTGGAATCTGTCAAGTGTGTGTTTCTAAAAGATATTCAAGTTTCTAAAGTAGATAAGAGAGATAAATTATTTGATAATGCTCTAAGTAGGCTTTAAATGACCCATAACCTGCAGGACTCAATGCAAGATTGTTCCCCATCTACTAGAGCCATCTAGGAATCTAGACTCTAATTTGGCTCTCAATAATTTGGTATAAAAACTGATGAGAAAGTCACATGATCTCAGAAGTCCCACCCCACACTGCAATCCCATCTCCCTCAGCCTGTGAGAGCAGGTACCTTCTGAGGGATGAAGGTCCTTCTCCATTCCTGTGACCATTCTCTCATATTTCCCTTGATTTAGAAGTTGACCTCTGTGCCACATCTTCCAGGTTCTTTCCTCATCTTGTGTTAGTAGCACATGTGATACTTCCTCTGCCTGAAACAACCTTCCCACCTCCAACCCTCCCTTCTTTCTCTGGAAAACATCTAACTCCTTTCTCAAGAATCAGCTTGCATATGACCTGCTTGGGGAAGTCTTTGCTGAGTCCCAGGTGCTGAAGCATATCTCTCCCCATAATCCTCACTGTGCTATTAATGTCTCTGTCCCCCAATAAGCTGGGACATCTCCAGAAGGTGAAGACTGCGCACTGTTGGACTTTCTATACCTTGAACGTAATAGAGAACTTAATGGTCACAAAGTACATTGTTTTTGGATGAAATGTCTTTCCTAACAATAACAGACATTATGGGACTAAAAGAATTAGGTAGTTCTGGGATACCCTAGAGTATTGATAAAATAGTGTACTGAGAGTGTTTGAAAATGACCCTCCTGTCTCCTGTCCCCTCTTATCTTATTTTCATTGGCTCTCAAATTCCTCCCCATTCCAGGTTTTTGCCATCTCTACCTGCCAGCAGATGAGTTTCCAGAAACCTATTCATTTGATGTTGATAACATGAATTTTCCCACATCCAACCTCTGTTTTGTGGGACTCATGTCAATGATTGACCCCCCTCGGTCCACAGTACCTGATGCAGTCACCAAGTGCCGGAGTGCAGGGATTAAGGTGGGACTTACTTTTCTCAATTAAGAAATCCTCCATTTATGTTGTGTCCTAAGGATGTTTGTCACAGAAGATCTCCTATGACAAATATTTAGGTTTCTTCAAGTAAATATCATAATTCCTTTTTTATTTTAAGATTTATTTATTCATGCATACAACAACCAGGGTACAGGCCAGATGCGCAGGAGGGTAAGAGGACCCACCAGAGACAGAGTGGGGAACAGAACATACAGACTGACAGAAATACACTGCTGAGGGGAGCAGTGGCTAAGACAGGAAAGGTCTGCTGCTCCATGCACGTATCTCCGCGGCCGGCCAGGATCCAACCCGCGCTGCAGAGGCTGTGGACAACTCCACAGTGCTACGTTCAACCTCCTGCGCCACCAAGGGAGGCCCTATAATTCCTTTTTTTTAAAAACTCTATTTCCACTATAGTAAGATTTCAGTAACTGTACCATATAAACAACATGATTGTGTCTGTGTGAAATTACTATGAGAGTAACTAGAAGAGAAGAGAGTTCTTTCCTTGTGCCATGAACTGGCCGTGTCTTGCCCGAGACTATGATAGACAATAAAAGGATTTAGTGCTTGATCTTGAGATACAATATCCATAATCTATTTGGTTTTTTTGACAATGCCAAAATATACTTCCATTACATTTTTTAAGTTTTTTTTTTTTTAAGATTTATCTATTTATGCACACAAGAGCTGGGGTATAGGCCAGAGATGCAGGGGGTGAGAGGATTCACCAGAGACAGAGTGGGGAACAGAACAGGTAGACTGACTGAAACACACTGCTGAGGGGAGCAGCAGTGGGCGAACAGGAGAGGTCTGCTGCACCATGTGGGTTGCTCCCTGGCCAACCGGGGATCAAATTCATGCTGAAGAGACTGCAGATTGCTTCATAGTGCAGTGCTTAAACCCTTGCACCACCAGGGAGGCCCTGACTTCCATTACATTTTAATGTCAAGACTGCTGAAGCAGCAGGAGGCTGTCTCAAGTAGATATCTACCAGCCCTTTCATGAATATAGCAACAGCAAGGGAAAAGGACTCCTTCAATGTCAGAAGCTTAGGACCAAGGAGAGATCCAATGGGATTACAGTGTCCTTCAAAGATTATTGTATCTTTTTTTTTTTTTTTTTTTTGAAGTCAGGAAGTAGTTTATTTTCGCTGAAACTGAAGAGGGAAGTTAGAGAGCAAAACAGCTGCAACTTGATCAGTTCTGGAAAACCAGGTAGGAATAAAAAGAACAAATTCACGAGAAAGCCAGCTCAGATTTGCTTTGGGCTACATTTTGCAAACCAATAAAAGACAAAAATCCCAGTAGTGTTCAAAAGATGGTTTTATCTTTGATATAAGAATCAAGAACTTCCCATAAGGTGATCAATCACTAACCACATTCTCACAGGTCACGGCAGAGAAAGCAATACTGAACTGACCCTGCCCTGGCCAACCAGCTTCCTCGTTGTCTGCATCCCTTTCTCATTGTTTGTCCTCTAGGTTATTATGGTCACAGGTGATCATCCAATAACAGCCAAAGCCATTGCCAAGAGTGTAGGTATCATTTCAGCCAACAGCGAGACAGTGGAAGACATTGCAAAACGCCTCAATATTGCTGTGGAGCAAGTTAACAAACAGTAAGTCCCCAAGTTATTATCCATTGCCCCCTGATGGACCTAAAAATCTATGCTATTTGGAGCAAATTCCCATTTTTGCTAGACACTCTCTCAGAGTAATGCTATGCTGGTTCAGTCTGTAATTCATATATCTATCTATTGATTCATTCAGAAACACTGTGTCGGACACTGTGTCAACAACACGAACAACTACCTTTCATGTATTCCTTGTATAGAAGTTCAAAACCCAGAATTAGAGCTGAAAACTTAAATGTCCAACTTAGAGTAAGAAAAGCTGAAACAAAGAGTTTGCATGAAACTGCTTCCATTGATTCAGCTGTGTGATCAGAAATGTTAAGACCCTTTAGGTTTTGCATGTATAGACCCTTACTGCCAATTTTGAGTATTGTCTATTCAGTGGACTTCATGATACCCAGCTAGTAAACATACTCTTCTTTTTTATGTGGTAATAAATAAAATATTAACTTCCTAAGGGAAGACTTGGTATTTCCTGTGTCCCCTAGTTCTTTTCATCATGTTCATCCTTTAATCCATTTATCTGTCCACTTATTCATATCTTACTTCTTTCAGCAATTAATTGTTGAGTGCCAACTATGCCCCAGGCCCTGAGAGAGATGCAGAACTGTGGTAGGAAGAGACTGAATACTATCTCCCAGTCTTGGGGGGCTTTCCATCTAGCCAGACCAGCCAAAAAGTAAAGAATTGTGATGTGATAAGTACAATCAAGTGACGCACATGGCACAAGGGACCTGGATCCGAGGAGCGGAACCTTAACTGTTGTTATTTTAAATGAGTCCAAGACGCCACAGTATCAGTGTGAAAATAAATGTCATTGGGTTTATTATACTTTCATGTATATGGGGTAAGAAGAAGAACATCTTCTCAGTTCCCCCAGCATATCCCCTTCAGAGATACAGAGCTATCAGATGATAAATTATAACCAGGCAACAAATTACCGGGGAAAACAACCACCCAGTCACTGCCTCTGGGAAAAAGAAAAATAACTGGACTCCTGAGAGTCTTACGGCATTCCTTTGTACAAATAACATTCATCTGTCCAGATGGGTTTGGATCATTTGTTTACTTATCTTGATTTCAAAATACTAGGACTAAACCGGGTTCTTTTATGAATATTTTCGGTTACCTTCTTTTTCAGTTCTAGCTTCTTGATTGTGTAATAACTTTACTTCTGCAGTTGGGAGGAGAGGGCCAGGAAACACCCTGTCCATCTTATCTTACTTTTATATTTTCTTACCAGAACATTAGGAAGACCTGCAGTTTGTCAAAGGCTAGAATTACAATATTTAATACAAGAGTTTTTGAAAAATGACCTAAAAATAAAATCTTGAAATTAAAAAAAAAAAATGTGTAAAGGAAAACAGGCACATAGTGTTTGGTACTGAGGGTGTGTAAACTGAGATTTGAGGCTTAAATATGGAAGCCAGAGATGCTCATTCCTGGCAAAGGGCAGGTCTGTATAGGGCTTGGGAGGGGGCATTACAGAGGGTGCAGAGCAGAGGGGTACAGTGGGCTAGAGGGGAACCAAAGGAGGCAAAACTTGGCTGCACTTGCAGAGCAAGCTGTGGGCCCTTGAGCATAGTGTAATCTTTTTGGATGGCTGTAGCAGACACAGCACAATATATCTGCGTACTCAAAAGCCTTGAGAGCCTTATTATTAGAGTTAGCAGATAACGGTTTTCCTCAAAGTAAACCTCCATAAATGTTTCATAACTCCTAGCATAATTTTCTGTAAGTCTGAAAATAGCAAAGAATTGTTACCTGTGTGTTTTGGCATAAGCTTTATTCTAGGAACCAAAACATAAACAGGGTATTTTTTTTCTTTTTAACCCTTCTTTTACTTGTGAAGTAAAACAACACCCAGGAAGTACTTGGAAGGAGAAGGTTATTTGAATCATTCCTATTGTTATATGATAGCAGGAAACTTTTACCCTCTTTATTCTGAGATGGAGCTCAGAGCATCCCTAGTCTCCCTAACCCTGCCACCCTCTAGGGTTTGGGGTGTCAAGAACATTGGGCTCAATCCTGGCCAGAGAGTATTCTGACCTGAGTCCCTGAGCCTTTGGCCTCACCCAGGTCACTCTGGCCCTTGTAGGGATGCCAAAGCCGCCGTGGTAACAGGCATGGAGCTGAAGGACATGAGCCCAGAGCAGCTAGATGATCTCCTGACCAACTACTCAGAGATCGTCTTTGCCCGGACATCACCTCAGCAGAAGCTGATCATTGTGGAGGGCTGTCAGAGACAGGTGGGAGTGACCTGTACCCAACAGAAGGCAGGGCAGAGGCTGCATTGGTATTGGGTGTGGGGCACTTTTTTAACTTCTCCAGAGACTGCTCTCTGCTATCCCCACCCCTTCACATCTCCATCTCAGGGGATGATTGTGCCCTCCTCTGAAAGCCTGCACACTCCCCAGAGAGTTTTCTGACAGTGAGGCAGTTGTTACGGCAGGAGATGTGGGGACAGGAAGATTCAAAGATTTAAGATACCAAACCAAAAATGTAAAAACATAAGATACAAAATACCCATGTTTACTTGCTACATTCGTGGGTTTTAGTTATGGGAACATGTCTGGTTTGAAGTTACTTGTTTTTGCTTCTGGGACATCTTGTCTTTTTCTTTTCCCCATAATGGGCTCTTGGTTCAGCCCCAGTCATCCCCCAGCCAAATCTTTAGCTCCCCTGGAACCTGCTTACTCCCCTTTGCTCACTGTGTCACCATAGGATGCAGTTGTCGCTGTGACAGGGGATGGAGTGAATGACTCACCAGCTCTGAAGAAGGCAGATATAGGGATCGCCATGGGCATAGCGGGCTCAGATGCAGCCAAAAATGCAGCCGACATGGTTTTGCTGGATGACAACTTTGCATCCATTGTCACAGGGGTAGAGGAAGGTGAGTGAGGGTAAAGGTGGTCTCACCCAGGACTAGAGTCACCTGGATCAAGCTTTGTAAGGAAAAATCTCTTTGCTTAGGTCGTCTGATCTTTGACAACCTAAAGAAGACCATCGCATACACCCTAACCAAGAATACTGCCGAACTGTGTCCCTTCCTGATCTACATTATGGCCGGGCTGCCCCTGCCCATTGGCACCATCACCACCCTTTTTATTGACTTGGGCACAGACATAGTAAGTAGCACTAAAGGGAATAGGATCCGTTAACCACCTCAGTAATGTAGATTTCTGAGTCATTCCCTTTCAGGGCCAAGAGATGGACCTAATCAGTGCCTCTCAGACTTTGATGGAGGGGCCTAAAGTTCTGCACTTCTACCCAACAATTAGGTGCTGCCAATTCTGCTCAGCTACCATCCACACTTCAAACCAGAGGACAAAAGATATGTCCAATGTCTGGCTCATAAAACCATGACCTTCCGTAGAAGAGCTTTTTAAAACAGAAGTCACCTTCCAAAAACATATAGGTCGTTGGTCCGCACCTCCATTGGTCCATGTTCTCACCAACATTGTCCTTGTGTACTGAGGGCCCAGTGGTTAAAATCATAACCCACAGCTTCCCTTGTTGAGTGAAAGAATCTGTGATCTGGAATCCCCTCACCTGAACAGTCTGAAGTAGCAGTTCATGAACACTCCAAGGCCTCACACAGAACGACAGTAATGCCACCTAAATCTCCCTTGTCCTGTGTGTGTCCATTTAAGAAACCTCCATAACACTCATCATCACATGGCTTTGGGTTGTACCAGCGAAAGGAGAAGGCACCAGAGAGCAAACTTGGTTCATAGGGAGAAGTTCAACTGCATTGCTGCCCCCCGCTCCCCTTCAATGCAATAGGCAGTGATCCCCACATCTCAGGCAGACTCGAACCTCTGGTTTACCCCTGAGCAGATCTGATGTCCCCATAGCTGACAGTCACATTGTTTCCAGGCCCTTTAGATATACTCATTTTCTCACCCCAATGGTGATTAGGCACTCCCTGAACACTAGTTAGAAATGCAGGTTCTTTGGCCTCAGCCCCAAACCTTGGGGATCAGAATGTCTGCAGGTTGACTTAGTGTTCTCCAGGTGGGGAACCTATGAGAGAAGCACTGTGGTTCTGTGGTGTGCCTGAGGGGCGAAGGTGACAAGATCCCCTATAGGGGACAAATGTCTTGGTTTAGAACCATGCGCATGGTGATGATGCAAGGCAGCTTGACTTTTAAAGCCAAATGTTCTTTAGTTCTCTCCAGACAGTGCACCTCCAGTGCCCATGCTCCCTGCCCACCACCAATCCATCCCCAGCCTGCCCACTTGCTCCTTTCACACCGCCCACAGTGTTGTATGCAGGGTGAACTTTACGGGCTCTCTCCCTCTCAGATTCCCTCCATTGCCTTGGCTTATGAGAAAGCAGAAAGCGACATCATGAATAGGAAGCCTCGCCACAAAAAGAAGGACAGACTGGTGAACCAGCAGCTTGTCACATACGCCTACCTGCACATTGGTACGATGGGGGCATTTCCCACATGTCACATAAGGAACCTCCCAGAGTGCATTCCTGTCACACGTAACACTGTTTCCTTGCGGGGTACAGGTGATGGAGGAACCCAGGGGAGCATGAAGACAGGCCCATTGTGAAGCTGGACCCTAGTCTCTTTTATTTTTCAGGTCTCATGCAGGCCCTGGGAGGCTTTGTGGTATATTTCACTGTGTACGCCCAGGAGGGTTTCCGCCCCAGCACTCTCCTACACCTGCGGGTGAAGTGGGAAGACGACGCCATGAATGACTTGGAGGACAGCTATGGGCAGGAATGGGTGAGGGGGCGCTGCCATCACATCCCAACTTTTCCCTTCCTGTCACTGCCTTGCCAGGGTGATGCTGAACTCTCTTCGCTCTGGAGGTCTTCATGAGACAGGGAAGGGGAGCCTCGTTTCAGTGAAGAGGACCCTGGGACTCTGGTTATATTGGTTTGGCCCTTGCCAGGGTGCAGGCTCCTCTCACTAGTTAGATACTTAGACTGTTTTTCACACTCACTATGGAAGTCGTGGAAGAATACCCAGTTCAACGTTGTCCACTGCTCAGCCAAATCAATTAAATTAGCACCTACAACCTCCACCCGGTTAAAAGGGAAAAACATGTTTCTTTCCAAACACAAGGTGATCAGTTCTCAACCCTGGTAAGGTGTAAGGTGGGGAGAGAGTGAAACTTTACAGAAGTGCTTGGGAATTTCCCTGAAGTTTCCCATTCTCTCCCCTGCTTTCTTTGTTGACAGACCAGGTACCAGAGGCGATACTTGGAATGGACTAGCTACACAGCTTTCTTTGTTGCCATCATGGTCCAGCAAATAGCAGATCTGATCATCAGGAAAACCCGGAGGAATTCCGTTTTACAGCAGGGCCTCTTCAGGTACTATCCACATCTGACCTGAGGGCTCAACCCCGGGTGGTGGCATCAAGTGAGGTGCTCACTCTGTTGAGCAAGGGTCCTGGGGCCCTGGGAACTTAGAATATCTTTGCTTTGTTGTGTCTTGTAGAAATAAAGTCATCTGGGTGGGAATTGCCTCACAGATCATCATTGCGCTAATCATCTCCTATGGCCTGGGAAGCGTCACAGCCCTGAATTTCACTATGATCCGGTGAGCAACACTTCAACAGTGGAGGGAAAGAGCCACCCCCTTTCTGAACTGTACCAGCTGAATTAAACACTAGGGTTCTGGTAGTTCTTTCCCCTCAAGTCTTTCAAAAGAGAAAACAAAATACCTTCCAATGTAAATTAAAGGCTTTGAACTGCTAGGTTTTCCAGGAGAGGAAATAGGCTTTCAAAACCTTACCATCCCATCTCTACCCTCATCCAAAGCCTCTTCTAGACTTCACAGTCCAGATTCAATAAGAAGCTTTCCAGTGTTATGTTTTGTGACCTAGTGAATTTGCTGTTCTCTCCAGCGAGGCAAGGAAAGTGAAAGAGAAATCCCCTTCCCAGTGGCAGCAACCAGGCTCTCTCTGGGGCTGCACTGAGTCTCATGTCCCCCTTTCTGGTTCCAGGCCTCAGTATTGGTTTGTGGCTGTGCCACACGCCATCCTGATTTGGGTGTATGATGAGATGCGAAAACTTTTCATCAGACGGTACCCAGGGAGTAAGTAATATTGTGATTTTGAAGCCCTATTCTCTACTTCAACAGCCTCTCCATTTCTTTTTTTTCTTAAAGATTTATTTATTTATTTATTTATACAAGCACTGGATACAGTCAGAAGCGCGGGAGGGTGAGAGAATTCACCAGAGCCAGAGCAGAGAGCAGAGCAGGCAGAAGGACCGAAGTACACTGCTGAGGGGAGCAGCGGGTGGCAGGAGAGGTCTGCGCGCCATGTGGGACCCTCCTCCGGTGGCCGGGGAGCAGCCGGGGATCGAACCAGCGCTGCAGAAGCTGTGGGCAGCTTTGCAACCCGGCGCTCAACCGCTGCGCCACCTGGGAGGCCCAGCCTCTCAATTTCTAATGCCTTTTTTCCTGCCTCTGCAGGCTGGTGGGACAAGAACATGTATACTTAAGACCACCTGACTTCCTCAGTCTCCCAGCTGCTCATTGGAGATGTTTCTTGATCCTCTGGCCACCAGCCCAGAGACAGCTTCAGTAGGGACATCACCAGAATACAAGCAAGAAAATTGTCTGAAAGATACTTACTGATGTTTTATATTCAAAGCAGAAATTTGACTATTTCTATATGATTTTCATCTCCATATCCATATTTCAAAACATATGAATGTCAAGATAATGGTGTAGGAAAGACGTGTATTTATATGTATATAGAGCTCATTCGTGTTAAATAGTGTGGGTAATCTGGACATCTGCTAGCTTCCCTCTGATCCTTAAGCTATATGTAAAATCACTTAGCTATCCACACCCTATTAACAATCCAGTGACCTCACTGAGATTTTGAGAATTCCCATAGAACCAATATTTTTTAAGATATTTTCATACTTACCTTGCTCAAAAAAAAAAAAAAAAGGCTAAGTCAGCTAAAGGCTTTCAAGATATGGAAGAGATGACAGCTTTACTCCATGGCTTCACAGATGACCTCAATTATGACTCAGAACATCCTTCTTAACATTCTCACCACCTGGCTACCCTCTATCCCCCTGACTCCTCCTTTAATTCCTCCCTCCTACCATCTGAACTTCTCTTTCCCTCCCAGATTGTCTTCCACTCCCACCAGCAACTCCTTCAATCCTGAGCTGCAGTCCATATCCAAACTGCAAATGTCCAGCCAACCCAAAATAGGTTTCCATTTGGATTCAACATCACTAGAGAATCCCTATGGTTTAAAAGAGTGGTATTTTTTTTTTTGTCAAGCAATTGAAAAGTATTCTTCTAACATATGTTGACTTGTGTGTGGCACCACCATCTTGACAGCCCCAGAGAGACCTTATTTTTAAATAAAATATATTTTATACAATCAGGTCTAATTGTGGTAGTCTAATTAATCCAAGGCTTTATAGCATGTCAAGCATAAGATATAAGAAAATGATATGTCATTTCAATTCTTTATCTTCTTCCAGTGATTTTACCTTGCTCTGAAAGGTCTGAAAATGTGGGATTTGCTTTCTAAACTTTCCCTCACCAGCTCTGCACCTTGAGTCTCTGCTCCCATATTGGAGTTGGGATTTCTATGAAAGAATGATCTTTCAGCAGCTGCACACCTAGAGCAGACTGATTAAAAACAGGAAAATGACATCTGGTGAAATATTTTCCATTCAGTGGCCTACCCTTCCCCCCTCCTCCATTCTGCACTTGTATAAGTATCTCTAAAATGGAAATGAGAGATTGAGGGCTACATACACTGTCATTTTCCCAGAGGTCCCATTTAGAAGCATGGAAAAGGTGGGGGAATCAGTGTAACTTCATGTAAACAGATTGTGATGTGCAATGTGTGGTGTGTGTACATTTACATTACAATAATGTGTTGCTCTCTTCAAGGATGTTAACCTCTATTTTGCAGTATGGTTTTCATATGCTTATTAATTAAACTGATCTCACAACAGCAGTTTCAATGAACTGGAAACCTTTCCAAGCAGCATTGTCAAAGCCTCCCCACTCCAGTTCCGGCAAGGTGACTAACACCTTCTAAACTTCAACTGAAAGTCATTTATCCTCACCATTTCCTGCCAAGATGTCCCCACGCTCTTGGCTATGACAGTTGGCAGCTTTTAGTCCAGCCAGAGTCAGTGGGAGAGGCTATAAATAAAGCACTATGCTGTAAGAGATTTAACTTGGGGTTGGATTAAGTTTGAAAGGGAAAAAATTGAAGTAGAAGTCTTCACATCAGGACCCTATCTGGAATAACATTCGCATTCATACATACCTAATCTTCAAAAAATTCAACACTCAAATATTTGTAAAAGTATAACAGAGTGGTCCCCAGGAAAGGGGGAGCGAGTCCCAGGTTTCCTTCCCCACCCAAGGGAGGGTGGAGCTGAGCAGGGAGGAGAAGCTGGAGAAGAGACTGAAGAAGGAAGGGAGAAGAATGGAGGGTAAGAGGGAGACCTGGAGAAGGCTCATGGAGCAGAGAGAGCTGTGAAGAAACTGCGCTTGATTCTTGGTCCAGAACTGGTTGAAACAGATGTGAGTGAGAGACCCATGGGATGGTTAACAATGGCAACTTTTATCTTGATTTTGCTCCTTTTTTCCGAGAAGTGCTGGGTCCTTTCTGCCCCTTTCTGCCCCTCTCCTATAGGCCCCCACTACAAGGTGCCTTAGACTTGTGGCAGGCTTTTGGGCCTCAGTGGCCCTGCTTTGGGCCAACCCTGCTTGGCTGCACATTTACCCACAAAGGGATGGGTAGGTAACTTCAGATACTTGATTTGGAAACTATATTCTTCCCCTTTCCTTTGTTGCACACTAATTATATTAGAGTTTCTTTCCATTAAAGGTCTTATATGTTTTGTCATGATGTGACAGATGGCAGAACCTATTTAGAGTGGGCAGGTTTGGGGGTTTTGGGGTACCCCCTCCCTTCCCTGTAACAAAAGGAACTAAGGATCGCAGAAATGAGATGTATCAAGTAGCTTTATTAAGTTGTAGACTGAAGAAGGCAAAAATATCCCATATAAGAGGGTATTTTTTGAAGGGACTGCTTCATTGATCCACAAAGACCTATATACGTTTTAGAAAACTGTTAAATTAAATCTGATTTGTGCAGCCAACTAACTCAGAGATAAAGATGAGTCTGGATTTATAGAAAGTTTGCTTTCTTAAACAATCCTTGCTTTATTTTAATTCTAAAATTGTGACTCATTTTCAAAAATTTGGAATACCTGAGAATTAAAAAAGTCACAAGTCCACTACCTAGTACCATATCTAAACAAAAGAAGAGTTACTTGAGGGGGAGAGGATTTGTAGGGGCAGAGAGGAAGGTTTCCTCATCCCTCTGGATTCTTCTCAAATCTCCCTTTCTGCTTCATGTGAGCTCCTCCTCTCTCCTCACATCTCTGGCCTGTACCCCAGTTCTTATATGCATAAATAAATTAAATCTTTAAAAAAAATTCTACTATAGGCAATTCCAGGGAAAACAACTATACATGCTTTCCTTTAAGAGGAGTGAGAAACAGATTTATTCATCTCCTAGAGTAGTATGGATCAAGACCTCTAGATCCCTTACATTCCTCATGAAATTTAGTTTAGTTTTAGACAAATAGTAAATTCTCAATGCTCATCAAAAAAGTAACACATTCGCAAATGTGCTGAGATCAGGCTGGAGGTATGTCAGTCGTTTGACCCATGCAATAGTTAGCTGTCTCTAGTGCCAATTATAATTTGAAGATTGAGCACACAAAAGTGATGTCTCTTCTCTTCAGTCTCAAACTTCATTTAGAAAGCTGTCTCCTTTACTGCTTCTGCTTCCCTTGTCCTGAATGCCTTGAGATCTTTTTGCTTCACAGAGACTGTTCTCATGATTTTCTGATCCCCTCACAGTCCCCATCACACTTGGTCTCTTGCAGCATCTGATAAGAATATTCCAGAAACTCCCTTCTTGATTTCCCTGTCTCTGTTCCCCCTTAGTAGGTGGGGAAGGGGCATGTCTATGTGATACCACTGCACACTTGTGATGAATTGGCATAGAATACCATCAGGAAAGGCTTTTGTCACAGTGCTGATGATAAGGGCTAGGAAATGGGGGTTCCAGTAGGACACTATGCGTGGTAGAGTAAGAAATCTGCACACACACATTGTTTATGGGTGTCTACTCTGAGTTAACTGTCTAGCCCGAGGACACATCTGGAGGAGCGTGGGGAGCAGTGCTATATGAAGACCAGATTCAAGACAATGGGACACGCATAAGGTTACCTATAGTCCAGGAGGATGATGAGTAGCTCTAGGGACTGGACATCACAAGCTCCTGACAGCAGTGAAGGCCTGCTTACTGCTGAACTGTCTCACAATAAAAAACCAGCTGGAAATGAAACATTAAGGCAGTTTATTTAGTGTTAACCTCCCATCTTCCAGATTGACAGCTGTCTGACTGAAGCACACCTTAAAGATTCAATTCCTGTCTTTACTTCATTGGCATTTGTGGTGACAGGTAGCCTGAACTCTGGACTTCTGGTTACACTGATAGGAACAGGCCACTAGGTCAGACCACTTGGGCCTTTGTCAAAACCTACCTACCAAAGCCCATCAGGAACACACCTGTGACTAGACACAGCTAGGTTCAGTTACTTGTTTCTCCAGAGGGAAGAGCACACAAAAACAACCTTGGGACATGGTAAGGTGGAGTTCAGAGGGGTTTACGTAGGATGCTTGTTCTGGGACATCCATAGGAGGGTCTAGAGTAACAAGAGCCAATTTTCCATTGGTTGCCATCAGGAAGCAAGAGGAAATTGGTAGTGGAGTGTTTTGGTAATTTTTATCTGGGAAGCTGAAAAATTAAGGAAGTGTAAAACTAATGTAGATTTAAAAAAAACTCAGTAACTGGAGAAAGGGATACTTAGTTATTTCTAATTTCACAACATCCTTGTCTTTTTCTAGGTTCAGACATTTCTAGGTTCTTTCCATTCTGTTCCCCTTGGCCACAGAGTGGACATATTTGTATATTATTTAGAATCCATGAAAACTATTCATGCATAATTGGGAATATTATGACCAAGCTCCCAGATGCTGGGGTGTCTTCTTCATTACTCAGGGGGAATGGGTTGCTTTCATTTATCAGCTGTGAAGTTTCATGCAAAAGACGCTGTGCTTCAGTTTGCTCATCTGAAAAATGGTAATGAATATTATCTCACCTAATAGGATTCCTGTGAAGACTGGAAGAGTTAATACACATAAAAAAGTTAAGTACAGAGCATGGCACACAGTATCCACTCAATAATTGGTGACTCTTATTATCAACATCATTCTCATTATAATCATTATCACAGCTTTCTGTTAAACTCAGAAATGACTTTTCTGAAGTAAAACATATCCAAGGTCACACAGTGAACTGAGTGAGCAATAATGATAATGATAATCATAACGATGGATCTGTATCACTCTACATTTGTCCAATACCAAGAGTGAATCCTTAAGCAAATTATCAACCCAGATGACAATTTTGTGTAAATGTAGATTAATTAGTGCTCAAAAAATAAATAAAAGTACCATTCTGGTGAGTGATATTGATAACAGGAAAGATAGAGTATGCGTGTATAACAACAAGGGGTGTGTAGGAATTCTGTTTTTCTCTCTATTCTAATAAAAATTAATACCTCAAAAATTAAAAAGAAAAACAACTCAAAGAAGAAAGAGAAGAAAAGAAAAAGGAGAGGAGGAGGAGGAAGAAGGAGAGAGAGTGCCAAGGGCCAGCCTTGGCAAAATGTCCCGTCAGGGGTTCCTGAAAGGATGAGACAGCCTAGGCGACACCGCTAAGGGCTAAAAGGAAGGGAATGAGGCAGACACGCACTCTTCTTTTTGGTACAGGTATCTCCTACTGAGGGACTCAGCAGGTCTTTATTTATTCATTTTTAGCAAGCAGAGAAATTACATCATCATGTGCAAAGCAGAAATAATTAGTGTATTTTACTCCCATGGACTACTGGCTCCTACGGGTCTCAGCTAGAGGGTAGCCTTCAAGGTTAATAGATAAAAAACCAAACCTTACACTAAAACTTATTATTTCAGCTAGACAATTACCTAAGACAGTTGATAGCTGCCAGTACACCCCTATTAGCTAAAGCCTAAGCATCAAAAGACTCTTTTATTCATACGGCCTTCAGCCGGAGGCCAGCTGCTTCTCAGCTATCAGAACTTTTTCTACCTAGAAACTTCTTAACACAGTTAACTTCATTTAAAAACTTTCCTAAGAAACTTCTTTAAAAAAAAGGTAACTTCTGAAAAAGCAAAAGAAGGACTTACTATAATAGTTGTGCTGGATTGCTTGTCAGATATGTACAATAAATTGTCTCCCATTGTCAAGTGGGCCA